TGCTTTACTCTATAAAAATGTGTTCACTTGGCCTATGTGTTTGCTGTATCCTTGTATTCATATTTAAATGTATACTTAATGGAGCTGCCCCTGCATACTTAGCAATATGATTATATCATGTACTTCAGTTAGATATACAGCTTTCTAGATTAAATTCTCAGATTCCAATTTTGATTTCTAATTCTGATTCTCAAGCTCTCAGTTTGAAAGGAATTGATTAGTTTGCAAGCTCTTTTAATTATTATTTCCCATTTTTATTTGATTCTGATTCCTGATTTCTGATTATGAATTTGGTTTGATTTCTTTACAAGCCCTCATTGATATGAATTTCCTTTTTTATTTGATTCTGATTATTTGATTCTGATTTCTGAAATTGATTCAGTTAGATTCTAAGTTTTACTTGATTTTTATTCACAAGCTCACAATTTAATTTGATTCCAATTTTGATTTGATTCTGATTCTTAAGATCTTAATTTGGTTAGATTATGAATTTGAGATGATTAATTTACAAGCTCTTGATTTAATTAGATTCCAGTTTTGATTCTGATTCTTAAGCTCTCGTCCCCAAAACAAGATCAAGACTTTGTAAAAGAGCATAATAGGACCCCTTTAAATTCCAATTCAATCTGAAATTTGATTCATATTGACAAGCTCTTGAATCAATTAGATTCCAATTGCCACTATTCCAATAATCTAAGTTCGATTAGGAATTTACTTGAATTAATTTACAATACAAGCTCTTAATTTAGAAAAGCTTCCAAATTGTGCCAGTTCATTTGGATAAATTTCATTTATAATGTCCATTTTGTTCCATAAGAAAGTCTCACTTTATTTTTGCTGTAAATTTTACAGAGCAGTGTTTAAGACCCTCCCTCCTGATTCAAACTCCTAACGAATCCTTTTTTTAACTTCATTAAAAGAACTGGTCCGTAAGTCATTTGTTTCAGGAATTGTGCTCCACTGGTCACAATGTATGCTTTTCATTCACAAAAAGAGAACTGGCTCGGAGTCATTCATTTGTGAATTGAGAAGCACTGCACAAATACATTTCTACACTGCTCAAAATTGCAATGTAAAAAATATTAATATCAGGAGGATTACTCAAATGAAAACCCAATTTTTTTCCCCAGCCCCCCATCCATCTGCAAATGTACATGTGTATATACCTTTAAAAGTTTTTACTGTATATATATATATAATTAAAGGTTTACTCTCACTATATATCGGGTCCAAAGAATTAATACTGGGCAAGCGGCAGCACCTGATGATGTTCTACCTTTAGACTGAAGCTACGAGCAGAATACAAATGCATCAGTCAGATAAAGAGGTTCCAGCACAAACAATAACCTGCATAGAGTCCTGCACATTCACTGTCCAGACACTCCCCGTGTGTGTGCGTATGGGAGGGGTGAGAGCCTCTCTCTGCCCTCTGGCCATGAAGGGTCCGCCCAAGCGTGCTTAACTAATAAAGACGAGCAAACACACGCATGATCATTTAGATCTGTAGTACATGACACATGTCCAGAGTGCGGCAGAGTCTTATGTGTACACGCAATCAAATCTGCACTTGAGCACGCATGAACCTGCAGTGTATGTGTGCGCTTCGCATGGGAACACACACAATCACACACACACACACGCAGAGCGATTCTGTCACATTATAGACTGGCTGTTGGGCTCCCGTGTGGTGTGTTGTGCTTTTGTCCGGAGGGGAGAACAGGAAGGTAATGGCTGACTGTAAGAATGCAGCAGAAGAGATTGGCTCATCTGGTGCTTCAATAAACCAATGTCACCACTGGTTTAAACTCTTTATTGGGTTAACTGTGTGTTAAAATCAAACACGCATATAACACCATTTTATATAGGGCATCGTTTTGGAGTTTTACCTGTGCACTTAAGAATTTGTGGTCCTGATGCGTCTCATCATACCATAAATTATATTTTAGGAGACAACACTCTCTGTGTCAGACAGAGAGGAAGTCTTCCAGGCATTTCTGTCTCTTTAGCAAGACTGTGCTTTTTATCAATCTACTGCACTGTAGTTTTTTCACTCTGTCTCCCAAAGCAGACACTTTGTGCTTCAAAACTAGATCTGACAACAGAGCCGTTGCGCAGGAGTTAGCGTACCATGAGCTGGTGAATGGAGCTGAGGTGGTTAATTAGCGAGGCACCAACATGAATTTTTGAAAATGGAATTAAACCGAAAAACGTTTCAGTAAATCATTTTACTGAGAAAAAACATTGGGGGAAATTGAAATCTGTACTATGTTCAGGGTGTTGTGTTCTCAGGTGCTAAATTAAACCAGTCGAAGTAAGGTTCTTGGACAACGATCCTTCTCTCAATGTTTTAACTGAACAATTTTATCTGACTTGTTTTCCCATGTACTAAGATTTTGCTGCATGAGTACCTTATTCACTTTGTGTCAATGAATTAAGATGCTGAAACAGTGAAAATTAAATGTGGTTAGTGGGTCTCATTCACTAATCATGCGTACCCATTAATTTGTGCATGAAATCTGCATACGAACATTTTCACAAACAAATCATGATTCATCGAGAACTATTAAGTTATTCTTCACTTGCAGAAACAACTACCACGTGTTCGCAAAAATCCTATACTCTAGGTGACCTCATAAAAGTATTAAGAGAATTTGGTACAGCTTTTTCGTCATATATTTCATAGATGCTCAAAGATCTTGCTCTGTGCTCTCAGACGAGCATTTCTTTGGAGAGCTTCGTAAGTTTGCTTAGAGTGACGAAAGTCTGTGCAAAACATTCTCTTATATGGAGATGTTATGGGTGTGTTTTATGCAAATTACTAACCTTGGGCACTTGGTCGCTTATATAGAATGTTCCAAATTCATTAACATTAAAACAAGGTTAAGAACAAATTCATGTTCTAACATGCAAGTTGTGAATTAGGTGGGACTTTTTTTATGAAGTTCTAACTATGAAGTTATTAAAGGGGGCATAACACACACAGTTTCACCCAAACTCATGTTAATCTTGAGTACCTATAGAGTAGTACTGCATCCTTCATATCTCCAAAAAGTCTTTAGTTTTATCGTATTTATAAAAGAAAGATACAGCTTTACGATTCTCTCCGGAAAAAGCCGAGCTCCTGGAGGCGCGCCGTGGGCGAAGCTAAAGAGTGACGAGCACTTGGGCGCCGAATGCCAACAAAACAGACATTTGATGCCGTTTCACTTACCGTCTGCAGTTCTGAATCATGACCGGGATCTTTTATAGCTGGGACCGCTCCATCTTTCAGTATCAAACGATGTGCAAATCCAGCGGCGAACTGGGCCTGGTTTATAAAACGTTCGTCAACAAACACACTTGTGAAACTCCGTTGCTGCCCCCGGAAAAACAAACTGTATCCACTGTTTACATAGCGCTGGATTCTTTAGGAAGCTGAACAAAGTTATCTTTCCCTTACAACCAAAAACACACTTCTTTGGATTGGAGACATTCTTCCCGGGTCCCGTGCAGCGCTGCCACCGCCCGCCGGATGAAGCGCGTTGATGGGAGCGATCTCGCTCTTGCTCTGGTCGATGCGTGCGCGGGCGCATTCTTCCGGGAGAAATGCCCATATAAGGAGTTCCACCCTCGTTTACGTCATTAAGAGCCACGATCGAAAACAAAACTCTCTGAAACTTGTACGAACACGGAAGTAAGATTTTTGGCACAGAAATACTGTTATACGTCCAAATAGTTTTTTGAAACTTTGTCCATGCTTAGCATGAGAATCCAACTCTTTAACAGTGTAAACAACTCTGAATGCATGAAACAGCATTGCACCCCCCCTTTAATGTAAATATGACCCAGTGATTCCGGCCTTCTAGAACATGTTTTTGATTGAAATTTCAGTGTATCACTAGTTCAAATGTAGGCGATTAGGAGTTTGAATGCAGCTCACACCTTTTCTGGGTCATCATTTCCTGTTTTCTCTTTATTTAAATAAGCACAGTTGTTGGTTTTAAATCAAATTAAAATTACAGCTGAAACGTAATTTCTATATTGCTAGTGTCACAAAATAGTCGTACCCATAGTCGTGTCTCCATAGCTGAAATTGCACACTTTAACTTTAAAATAATGAAAAAAATATATATATGTATTTATAAAATGGAAACGGGGAAAATACATTCAGTCCGCTGAAAACATTGATGTTGATCCATGAGTGAAACTCCACTTCATCAGAGAGAAAAATCCTCTGATTATAGTTCTTGAGTAAGACTTGTATCTTCAGTCTCTGTAATGTGGTGCCAGAAATACGATCCCACAAGTGGGGAAAGTCGGTCCCCTCTCAGTGACCGCTTTGTGACGTTGTCAGTGGGAGTTTTGGGAAGCTCCGTTCAGCTGCGTGTCTGCACTCAGAAATCACTCTTGTCGTAACAGGCGCTGAATGTGAGGTAGGGAGACCCTCTCTACTAGCAGCCCAAGCAAATTTCCTCAGTCAAACCATGAAAGTTACACTGATTTGTATGTAATGATCATGTAATTTATCAATTAAGCCTGGAGAGGCCTTGGTTTTCGAGCACTGTAGTCCACAGCCTCAGCACGAGGCAGACTAATGGCTCTGTTAAGTCTGTGGGCGTGTGAGGAGTCATAGTAGATCTCTCTCACTCTCTCTCTCTCTCACTTGCTCTCAGCTCTTTCGCTGTAAAAGAATAATTAAGTGATTTGCATTGGTCTCAAGCAGGGGAATTTGTACTGATTCCTACAGATTAGGGCTGTCACGATACTACAATTTCGGTATTTGATACCAGTACCAGTAAAATCTCTTGATACAGCTGTGAAAATGAATGTACCCTTGAACACCGTGCATTTATTAACTTCTTATTAATATTTAATATCAAGTAAATATTGCCCCAAGTTGTTTAAAATTCAATTATTTTATTATTTATTTATTTTTATTTTATCAACTTTGCACCTGCTTTGCTACTATGGGTGATTAAAAGCATTTGTTCACAAATGTTCTCTCCCTGTGTCGCTGACAGGATGGAGCGGATATCTGAGGAGGCGTTGAGGCTGAACCTGCTGAAGCGGGGTCTGGAGGCGCAAGATGAGCGGGACGAGGCACTGGCCAAGCGCCTGAAGATGGAGGGTCACGAGGCCATGGAGAGGCTTAAGATGCTTGCCCTCCTCAAACGCAAGGATCTGGCCGCTTTGGAGGGGGCGGCGGTTGCGGCAGCCATGGCAGAGGGCAAAGGCCCCGGGGGCAGCCAGGGGCTGATGGGAGCTGTGGCCTACGAGGAGAAGATGAATGGAAGTTTGAGAGTCGGGGGCCATGGAGGTCCAAGTAAGAATGGGAAGGAAAACATAGTGGATGAGCCAGTGGACATGAGTGCCAGAAGGAGGTGAGGTTTCGGGAGAGCGTTCAACATCTGTTTGTTGGAATGAGTACCGTATTTTCCGGAAAATAAATTGCACAACTATAAGCATTGTTGAACGAAAATCTGTGTGTAAGTCAGGTTTTATTACGTTCAGAAATACCGGTAAATAAAATGTAATGTTTACAAATATTATAAACTCTAAAAAGTCATAGTTCCACTTACTCTGCAACAAATCCTTTACACGTAATGTTATTAAGTGCTATTTTAGTATTTTTCTGGTATTTTTCTTAATGTTTTGAATAAGTTTTTATTTCTGTATTTTTGCATTTTAATTTTCAAGATTTGGTCATTTTGTTGTTTTTGTCTTTTTTTTTTCTTCTCGGTTTTCTATATTTACATATATAAGTATAGAACTATATATATAGTTTTTTTTTACGTTTTTATTTCAGTTTTAGTTAGTTTAGTACATCAAGTTAAACTAAACTGAAATGAGAAGTACTGTCTAATACAGTATTTATTTCAGTTAACATTTATTTTATTTCCAGTAACAAAAATGTTTTTTTAATGGTTTTAATTTGTTTACCTATAATAACCCTGTTCAGAACATAACAGAAATAAAACATAAATATATATACTGTATATATATGGAAGTATAAAACAAACATAAATTTTAGTGTCATTCTTTATAAACAAAATTTATAATAAATGCCAGGACTAAACAAATTTATTTAAAGTAAACCTGAAACTACTAGTGTGAGGAAAATGAGTTATGTAAATAAACTTGGGCTCACGTACCTTGGGCTCAATCGTTTTGCTTGCTTGAAGTTAATTGCGTTATGTAAGTCGCTTTGGAATGTAAATTGTAGCACATTTCAGATTATAAAAAACAACTGATATTCTGGGAAGTAGAGTATGTTTTTGCTGTATGGTGTGAAATTAAATAATACTTTAATGATTTTATCCTGCAGGTGTTGCTAGGCCTTGTTTTTTTATTTTTTCATCTGGACTCCCTTAAAAATTACTATTTACGGTGCCCCTAAAAATCCCACTATTTTTGCTCTTCATAGCGATATAGTTCGAGAGCGACGCACTCCATCACCAGACGTTATCATTTTATCAGACAACGAGGCATCCAGCCCCCGGAGCACGCCTCACCCTGAGGAGAAACAGCATCAGGCCAACCTGGAGATGTTTAAGGTGCAGTATCCCATGGAGGAATCAGATCTATTGCTGGTTACCCACCATTAAACCCTTTGAATGAGTCTCGTGAACCTGATTGCTGATCTCTTGTGTGTGCTTGTTCTGCAGGGGAAGACTGGCGACGAGCGGCAGCAGATGATCAAAGCTCTCCGAGAGGAGCTCAGGCTGGAGGAAGCCAAGCTGGTGCTCCTGAAGAAACTGAGGCAGAGTCAGATGCAGAAGGAGAACGTAGTGCAAAAGGTCAGAACCGTACACGATGTCCAGTGCCTTACTCTACGCTTGATGCCAACTGGGCCAGTAACTGTACACTCTTGTCAGTTGTGAATTTGAATTATATTTATTGGATAGACAGGCATGTTGAAGACCTTTTTGGAATTGAGAAAACATCTGCGCCTCATACCTGCCATACCTGCTCGTTTAGTGTAGTGTACAGTTAACTCAATGCAGATCAGTCAGGTAGTAGTTCCTTTAAAGGGCCAGAGACATTACAAGCTGGCTTTGAGATCACTGTCAAGAAGTTATTTGAATATAAAAGGACTAAAATACATGATAATGAAGTCACACACTGGGTTTTTGTAAATAAAATCATATTATTTTATGTGGTCGGGCAAAATAAAGTGGATGGAGTAGCGCCAGCCTGTCAGAAATAGAGAAGTCCATCAGCTGAAGCTGCTCCTGGTGTAAACAGCTTAGTTTATTTTTGTTGATTTTATTTTTTTTAATGGAAGGGATCTTATTTTGCTGCTTTTTTTTTTGGTGTAGAAATGCACAGTTTATTGTCATCATCGGCTACAGGCTGCACATTCACATTGATTTAGGCTTATATGAAGCCATGTGAGAAACCAAACATATGAGAAAGGGAAAACTGAGTTGTGGGCTGGATTTAAGAATTTTAGTTTTGCAAGGATGCATTAAATCGATCAAAACTGACAGTAAAGATATTAACAATGTAACAAGATTACCATTTCAAATGAATTCTGTTATTTTGAACTTTCTGTTCATTTCAGAATCCTGAAAAAATGTATCACTGTTTCCACAAATATATTAAGCAGCACAAAATTTTCAACATTAATAATAAAATGTTTCTTGAGCAGCAAATCAGCATATTAGAATGATTTCTGAAACATCACGCGACACTGAAGACTGGAGTAATAGCTGCTGAAAACTCAGATTTGGCATCACAGGAATAAATTACATTTTTTAATTATATTTAATAGGAAAATATTTTTTAAATGGTAATAATTTTTTTTACGATATTACTATTTTTACTGAATTTTTGGTTAAATAAATGCAGCTTTGGTGAGCTAAGAACTCGGTCTTACTAAATAATCTTACTAAACATAATGATAGTGTGCAAGTCGATGCAAAACACGACGGCGAAGTTCATATGTATATTACACATTAATTCAGATAGCAACTGTTTGCAAATTTACACAATTCTACTATAGTGAAGACCCGGCTCATGAATACTAATTAGGTCACATGACTTGCTGAGCCAAACAAATTATGAACCAGTACAAATTAGTTAATATTCATGAGCTATGACATCTTATTATTTTGAATAATCATTTTGCCACTCATGTGCTAAATCGACTTGAAGTGGAGTATAGTTACTTCTAACATCCTATGTTCTAAATTTTACTGTGAACTTCCTCTTCCAATTTCTGTGAAACCAGCTCACAATCGGCTTTCTCATAGTTGTCTCTGCATATTAAATTGTAATTGGAGACAGCACTTTAGAATACAAATTAAAAAAAAACAGCATTGACTGATTGTCGCAGTGTTGTATGCTGTAAATCTGCCTGTATTTGTGCACTACATCTCCACTGCAGCTCCTCTGTACAGCATGTTCACCTTCACTGTTTTAGCACCAAGCAAAATAACCTCCCCTCGTGTCCAGCTGAGTGTTATATTAATGCCAGAAAAAACTGTCGAGGTAAATCGTTTTATTGTTGAAAGGACGTTAGTTGCTAGCGGGGGTGAAATAGGGTAACAAGGAGTGAGACGGGCAGCCATAACCTCACAGATACCATATCACAGCTCTGTGTAATGTTTGTCCATGTACTGTGCCATTGAGATGTTTTGTCTTATCTTCTCAACTCAGTGTTTGTCTAGATGCAGGAACGGCCCATAGACACTCACTCTTGTATGACATGCAAGTGCCACAACCCACTCTGCATGAATAATGTTTGCTTGCTCTTAAGCTGGAAGATGAAAATTTGGTGCTACTGAGGCATACAATAATTTGTATTATTATTCATGTATTTTTAACCACAGCATTTATTTATTTATTATTATTATTATACATGGTAATGCATTGTTTTTAGACATGCACAATAGTAATATCTTTATTATTTGATTTATGTATTATTATGTTTCTTGAAATGCCCTAGCATGTAAAATACCATGAGAGATGAATATGCTAATCATATGTTTGGTATGTTTTATGCATAAATTCTACCTCTCATAATTCCGAAATAAGTGTGAGACGTCACAATTGTCTATATGACATCACTAGGCTGTGTAAAAAAAAAAAAAGAAGCTAATCAGAAACCTCAATTAATGAGTTCAGGACAGGACTACCTGTTTGTTGAACAATGTATAAGGGAAGTGCTTGGATCAAAAAGGAAAAAAAAATCCCAAACAATCAGTAAAATCCAAAACAATACCTATTTTTCTGCTTCCGATTGGTGGAAGTCGCACAGCAGCTTTAACTGAAAAAATGGTGCTTGTGTTCCACTATTACATTGTGTTTTTTGTTGTTTTAAGTTATAATGAATCTCTGTACATAAGTATGATTTTTGATAGAATGACTCTGACCTCTCATTTCTCTTTTCAGGTGCCGGTGGTCCAGAATGCCCCGTCATCAGTGCAGCCGTCACCCATGCACAGCTCTCAGGGGCTCGGGAAACTACCTGTGCGGCCCGGCATGCACTCATCTGAGCCTCAGAGCCTGCGCACTGCACAGGTACATGGGGGGTTATGCGCACCAGTATATGCCTTTCTAAATATGAGCAGTGTTTGTGTTTTTTTCCTACATGCATTACTGATGATTTCGAGCACAAGCACAATGCACATGGATACTCCTCATTATGTTGTACACATTAGACTGAACATGTTAGAGCCTGCTGTTGGTTGCCATGGGAGCAGCACCTTAAGATCAGCATAACTGTATAGATTGGTACCAGTTACCATTTTTAATTACGGTCCATCTGTTGAGTACAAACAAAGCATTTGATGTCAACATTCTGCAATCTGATATACAGTGTCTGCTGACATCTAGTGGTCATGCAGTGCATTGCAGAGTTATTAATAATTCTGAATGTGTTTTTTTCTCCCTCAGGGCCACACAGTAATCAGGTCTGCTGCCAATGCATCTTTGCACCCAATGATGATGTCACAGCGGGTTATTGCTCCCAATCCTGCCCAGCTTCAGGGTCAGAGAGTGCCCTCCAAGCCTGGCATGGGCCGCTCCTCCACAGGTGGTTTGGGTAACGCAGTGAGCTATCAGCAGGTACGGTCAAACAGTCAAGCTCACAGCCATTGTCCTAATTTATTGACATTGAACTTTCAAAACAATTATAGAATGTGAACATTTCACACGTTTTTTTTTGTTTGTTTTTTTCTTTGCTCAATATATTTATTACTGGCCTATTTCAAAATGCTGAAGTCATGAACTTGGGCTGAGTGATATAGCAAAACTATTTTCAGTCTTTTGACAAAGTATACATTTTGTAAAGTTTATGGTAAGATATCAAAAGTGACAGTAAAAATGTTATATGGTCAAGATTTCAAAATAAATGCTGTACTTTTTAACTTTCTATTCAAAGAATCCTGAAAAATGTATCTAAAAATGTACAAAAATATTTGTCAGCGCAATTGTTTTCAACATTGATAATAGTAAGAAATATTTCTTGAGCACTGAAGACTGGAGTAATGGCTGCTGAAAATTCAGCTTTGCCATGGTTAAAATGTACTGCATTTATGTTAAACTAAAACATCCCTACTGAAACTTGCATGTAATATATTTGTATTTATATATTTGTAACGATGAACTTGCAATTTAGAACATTTAAAATATACAAACATATGATATTTAATAATACTACCTTTAAAACTATAGACAAGTACGTTATGTGCTTTATTATGTTAGTGAACACATTAAAATAAATGTTCTTATTTAAAGGTGACATATCATGAAAATCTGACTTTTTCAGGTTTTAAGTGCTATAATCAGGTCGCAAGTGCATCTACCAACCAAGGAAACGTGAAAAAGATTAACCCAGTAACTTTGTTTTGGGAAGCCTTTTTTTGCAAGCGTCTGAGAAAACGAGCGCGTCTGATTTCCCTCCCCTAGTGACGTTGCAAAGGGATCTTATTATAATATTACCGCCCCTTAATCTGTAAGTTTCCACCCACAGCGCCGTCATTTTGATTTAGCAAGCGACAATGGTGTACTAGCATGTTTTGCTCAAACTTTCGCCATGGCATTAGAACTAACTGTTCTGCCTTTGGCTGCACTGATGAGCACAGAACACTATTTAGAATCCCAGCCTCCCAGAGGAGACAAGAAAGCAGTGGATTTATTTATTGTATATTGATTGCTGCTGCCACACAGATCTAAAACCTTCACAGACATAACCGACTGGTTTTGTAACTCGTGTGTTTTTAACGTAAACCTTTGTGTGAATGAGAACTTAGTTTAGTACTCACATGCTGCGACAGCCGCTTTCAGTCCGTGTGCTTCGGATGTGTGCACTCAGAAAACCGTATATCAGAAGTTTAAACTAATATGGTTTAAAACGCATGATTTCAGGCGATAAATATGATAATCAGAACCAAAAGATATGTTTTTTAGCAGGTACGAGCTGTAATGGCGCAGCTCTGTTCTGGAAAAGGGGGCGGGGAGCAGCAGCTCATTTGCATTTAAAGAGCCCGGCACGAAAAACTGCGTGTTTCTGCTTCCACTCAAAATAGGCATTTTAAAAATGATATAATAAATGTTCTATGGGGTATTTTGAGCTGAAACTTCAAAGACACATTCTGGGGACACCTGAGACTTATATTACATATTGTAAAAAGGGGCATAATATGTCTCCTTTAAAATATATTCAAATATACAACAGTTATACTTTTTTTTTTTATTATGTTCTTACTGTATTTTTGATCAAATGCACAGAGCATTAGTGAGCATCTTTCAGAAACCTAAAAATATCTTACCGACCCAAAATGTCTAAATAGTAGTATGTGTGTGTGTATATATCTCAGTACTTACACAGAATATTTAATTATAATTTGGTAACACTTCAGTATAGGGACCAATTCTCACTATTAACTAGGTGATTATTAGCATGCCTATTATTAACATATTGGCTGTGTATTAGTGCTTATTGAGCACATATTCTGCATGACAATATACTACATCCCTAAACCTACCCAATACCTAAACTTAACATCTACCTTACTAACTATTAATAAGCAGCAAATTAGGAGTTTATTGAGGCAAAAGTCATAGTTAATGGTTTGTTAACGGTGAGAACTGAACCTTAAAATAAAGGGTGACCGTTAATTTCAATATATATATTTTTACTATAACATTTTAAAGTATTTGACATACAGTGCTCATATATCTGTGAACACTTTTGAGTAATTTTAAGTATTAAGTAATTTTGAACAAGTGTTTGAACCCATTTATTCAAGTGCACAGTTTGAAAGAAACTGAATCAAAGGTTGTTCTTTTTTTTTTTTTCTTTCTCCTGATGTTTAAATCATGTTTTAAAATATCTCTTCTTAGGATGGTGCATAAAACAAGTAAACTGGAACGGGCCTCAGCTTAATAGCCGAATAAAAATTGTGCATTAAATCACAGCAATATTCATAGTGTTGTTTCGTTTCATATCGCCAACACAATCATATTGAATATGTCGTATACTCAATACATCGCCCAGCTGCAACATGAATCATTCATAAAATGGATTATGTGGGTTACTGATGATTTGCCCTTTTGCTTTGTGTGATGCAGGCTGCCAGCCAGCAGGTGGGGGTCTCGCAGCGTTCAGGCTCGTCCTCGGCTATCTACATGAACCTGGCACACATGCAGGCAGCAGGAGCAGCTGGCGTTGGGGTGGGTGTGAGTGGGGTTGGTGCCGTCAGCCCCTCCACCCTTTCCAGTGCCTCCAGCGTGGCTTCTCTGAACGACCAGGCCAGCAGCCAAGCAGCCGCTAAACTGGCCCTCCGCAAGCAGCTGGAGAAGACCCTGCTGGAGATACCTCCACCTAAACCTCCAGCGCCCCTGCTGCACTTCCTGCCCTCTGCTGCCAACTCTGAGTTCATCTACATGGTGGGGTTGGAGGAGGTCGTGCAGAGTGTCATTGATAGTCAGGGTAGGAGCGAGAGGAACCACCCACACCACAAAAACACCATGCACATTAGGGCTGCGCAATATGGCCTAAAAAAAATCATATTGCAACTTGATAAGCATTGACATCTAATGCTAAGATCAAAAGTCAAAAAACACATTTAAACAGCTGCTCTCATGTTCAAAATTTGTACTAAAGTTGTGCAAGTGGAAACCGTTAAAGACCATTCACACTTGACCTAAAAGTGAAGTAAGCGAATGTGGTTTAATAATCACAAAAGGCCATATTGCAATTTCAGTTTATGTATTGTAGTACTAATTCACATCTAATTCTGCTCAATCACTAAACTCATGTTTTCTGCTTTTGCTAGGTAAAATGCGGGGGTCACTGCCACACGTGGAGCCGTTCTTCTGTGCCCAGTGCAGGACTGACTTTACCCCACACTGGAAGCAGGAGAAAAGTGGTCGCATTCTCTGTGAGCAGTGCATGACGTCCAATCAGAAGAAGGCCTTGAAGGCCGAGCACACCAATAGGCTCAAGAATGCTTTCGTTAAGGCTCTGCAGCAAGAACAGGTCAGTCAGTTTCTTGAGTTTTCGTTTCACTGCTGATAGAGTTGTCAGGATTCCAAAATTTGAATGAAGAAATTAAGCTTGATGATTCTCCACACACGTTAAGTTTCAGTACACCACAATCTAGTATGCTACAGTGCTGTTATTGTTAACTAAAATTAAAACTATTAAAAATTGTTTAATAGAAAAAAACTTAAAGGAAAATTAGAAATGTTGCCCCAGCAACTAACTGAAATTAGGTAAAGTATGCAGTGCTACTAGTGTCACCTAGTGGAATTACAAAAATAAAGCATATTTTTAAAGGGGTCATATGATGCTGCTAAAAATAACATTATTTTGTGTATTTGGTGTAATGAGCGGCCTACAGTGAGCAGAGGCCGGGGGCTAGCGTGAGGAACGGCGGGAGGGTTAGAGTGAGCAGACGCGGCGGGCTTGAGAACGGCGCGGCCAGCGATTTCGATAAAGGAGCGTCCGGAAGGACATGTGACAACTCCGGGCTGGACTCCGTTTCGTCCACGGTGAAAGCCGATCCGCACTGCGTCCACTGCGCAAAGTTGTAGTATTTCCTCAGCAACCAGCTGGCTGACTCTTTAACTTTTATAAAGAATATCTCTTTGGATTTGAGACTTTAGTCTTTGCAACTTTACAGATCTTCTTTATGCACCAAGAGCTTGTAACACTCCAAAGAGAAAGGAAAAATTGAAATCGCATCATATGACCCCTTTAAAACAACTGTTGCAAAAGTGAATGTATTTTAGCATAAAATTACAAACTTCACCTTTATGATGTATTAAAATTAAAATAAAAAAAATGTTAAAACTAAAACTGAAATTATAATAAAAACGAAATATAAGCGGATCCAAAATATTAATACATACTATTATTGTATAGAAATAATATTAAAATAACACTGATAAGCTACAAAGCACACTGCTGTATTTAAAAAAAATTTGAAATATTAACAAATAAAAAAAAACAAAAAACTGACATATAACCTACATTTATTTCTCAATTATTTAACATTTGCTTCAAATTTAAGTAATTAATCAGGACAAATAAACTATACAAATAATATATCATTTTATTATTTATTCAGGAAAACCCACTATTTTTAGTAGTAGAAGTGGTAGTAGTAGTATTGACTTTTGCTGACATTGCAACTGACACTGCTAGCTTGTAGTTTCTGTAACTGTATGTTGACTTCCTGTTTCTGTCTCTGTCCATTCAGGAAATAGAGCAGAGGTTGCAGCAGCAGGCTGCTCTGTCCCCCAGCTCTGCCCAGACTGTGCCCAGCGTGAGCAAAGGGGAGACCATGATCCGACACCATGCCCTCCGACAGGTGCACACTCTCATTGTGTACAAATAATGGGATCTCATGAGACCATTTTTATGGATTTTGAAATGGCTTCAAATGGTTTTTTTCTGGCCCTTCAGCTAATCACAGATTTGAATGACTGATGATTCTATCAGTTTAATGGTACAAAGAGGTGTCATGAAATTTAATGCTGATTCTCCCTCATTTTCTCTTTCAGACTCCCCAGCCACAGGCCGCTCTACAGCGGGGTCTGTCCAGCTCAGCACGAGGTGTCCTCTCTAACTTCGCCCAGGCCTCCCAGCTCTCAGTGGCCAGTGGGCTGCTGGATATGACAAGCAAGCGCTGTGGCAGCAGTACCAGCAGCAGCAGTCGGGCTCAGCATGACAGCCGCAGGCAGATCTACAGCATCCCTGGTAAGATGATGCAGTTTAATTAGGAATGCACAGCATACCTTAACTACATGATTTTGAAACCGCACGGTGAGGAAATGTTGTATGGGTTAAGGATTAATTATGGAATCACATTTTGTTAAGCTGACATTCATCCACCCCTGAGGTCCAGTCTCAACTCATTGATTATGCAATTCTTGACATGCTATTGGACCCTCTCTTCATTTGAACAATGGCTGGAGCTAATGCTTAATAGAGTTTTAGGATGTTATCAAAAAAAGATGAGTTAATTAAATCAATTTAATTGAAGTTAGTGAAGGTCTAACATCCTTTCTTTGAAGATTGTCCTTGTTTTGAAATGTACTTATCTGTGATTTATTATTTATTTAAAAAATTAAAAATTATAAAAAAAAAAACTTTCTAAAGCTACTTTTGTAATGTCTGTTTGATACTTTTCTCATTTAACATCATAATGACTTCAAATTATCTTTTGGGGATGATTTGATGTGCAATTAATTAATCGCCACATTATGTAATTAGATTAAAAATGTGGTCCCATTTTATATTTAGTGTACTACTATGTACTTTTAAATTAATCATTTGGTACAATGCACTTTTTGTGTACATACATGTTTTTACATTGTACTTATATTTTAGTATACCTGCATGTAATTACATCAGGTAATTAATTTCTGTAATTACACTGTTGGCCCATCCCTTACACCTTAATCCACCCTTAAACCTACCCATACCACCAAACCTGTCCCTAACCTTACCCATATCCCACCTCAATAGCAGAAGTGTTTTGCAATACAATATGAACACAATAAGTACACATTTTAATTTTGACTTTAGTATCCAAAAGTGTGTTTGGGGGCCATTGAATATACAGAATATATTTAATATTAAATTATGAATTTAGCAAATTTAGCAGTTTATTTTAATCGTAATTGTTTTCTCACTTATTTTGTTGTGTTTTATTTTTATGTTCTGTCATGATTGTTAGGATTCGATTAGAAGTTAGAACAAGTTTTTGTTGTTCTTCCAGTTTGTCACAAACTTTATTTTGTTAAACACCTCTTAAACTTCTTATCTTTGTTTTCTTGAATTTTCCCGGCCCCTCTCTGTCTTTGTCCTCCATCGCAGGTCTGAGTATTGCCTATCTAAATCCGGGAGCCATCGGGGGCCACAAGGCATCCAGCCTAGCGGACCGTCAGCGGGAGTATCTGCTCGACATGATTCCCCCACGCTCCATATCCCAGTCCATCACCGGGCAGAAATGAGCCCTGACGGGACTGCAGATCCCCCTTTCAGACGCCCCACCACCCCTCTGTCCTACATCAGAACATCCCCCAACACATACACACGCACACCATCACCCCATCGCATGCAGTGCCTGTCCGTGTGCCTACCCAACTAACCCATAAGAACAGCTCTATCAGTCAGACTATAAACACCAGACTGTCAGTGCATTTCAAACTTCGGTTTCCTACTATAGCAAAGCTCTTTATTGTTATCTCAACTTATTATTGCTGTTGTTATTGCTACTTCTATTATTATCACAGTTATTATTATTAGTAGTATTATTGTTGCTTCTGTTACAGTTACTTATATTACACTTATTAGTATTCCTCCCTCAGTCGCCCCTGTAAAATTAGACTCATTCTCTCTCATGTCGTATATGTTCAGTTTCGAAGTTGGAATGGTTAAAGCGTTCTTACCTGAGAGAGAGAGCAGAATCTTTGTAGCGTTACACGCTTGAAAACTACAAAGTCCTCCAAGAACCTTCTGGTTCAGAAAGAGCGAGACTGACTCATGTACATTGATCAGATTGATCCTTATGCAGAGCGCTGCTGATCTAGTCAGCGTTGGTTCTGCCTTGAGAAGGCCACAGGGAAAGTGGGACCTGCACTAGCACGGATGAGTCCCCTGCTGTCGAATGTACAGAGAGAACTGTAAGATTGGAGTGCATGCGCCCACAAACAGGATCTCTCCCGTGTCTCTCAATGCCTTCACTTTCACAGGATGCAGTGATGTCATGTAGGTTTGTTTGTGGTGACGGTGCGTTTCACTGCACAGCAAAGAATGAAGCCAGAGAGTTCCATCATCATGAACTTTGTCTCCTTTTTGATTTGTGTTTCTGCTTGGGTGTTTTTTTATCTCTTTTTAACCCCCCACTATACTTCTCTTGTTTTTGAATGAGCTCTTTAGATGCATTTTCTCCCCGGCTGTACGTTTTTGTAGTATGTAGTATTTGCAGAAGAAAAGAAAAGTTCATTGTTCTGGTGGAGCGTTTGATCCATTCTCTAGTCTTTGGACTGAGACATGATGGTACAGGCTCAGTATGTTACTTTTTTTGTTACCTCTCTTTTATTTGATTTTTGCTTTTTATTTCAAACATTGAAGTTACGTAGATGTTCGGTGAACAAGTTTCTTTCTCTAATGTCGCACACAAAGTGTTGATCTTACAGAACATGGACTGGATGAAACATTTGACAGTATTACCCCTCACTCGACCAAATCCAAAGCGTTCATCATAAATGTAAAATCAAAGCACGCTATTGCTCAATAACATTACTTTTAGCTAAATTACTGGGTGCAGAAAACCCTACAGGGGAGATTGTGTACATTTGTTTTCTGTTGCTTAAAGTACAAACTTTCCTCAGTATATCCCTTTTTTCTTTCTTGGGGAAAAAAAAATCACAATGCTCTTATTTTTTTCATGGAAGATTGTATACATTGTATACGATGAAGAAAACACTTTTTGTTTGTTTGTTTTTGACTGTTCCAATGCTTATTGCCTTCAGCCTTTAAATCATAAGACAAAAAATGGACAATTTGCACACATGCAAGTTTTGATTCTAAGGTTTGTGACATTATTAGATATACTTTTACAAGTTTCATGTCATGGAATCACTGTCCATAATTCTCTGACTGGACAATCAGCTTTTCTGGAGTTCTAACGCTGGGGTTTAATTCTCTCTTCAATTTTTTTTTTATTTTCTTTTTTTTTCTGCAATTTTTCCTCTCCCTGATTTTCATTTGTTTGCAAGTAAGTCTTTTTTGTTGTTGTTATTGAAGTGGGAGAGAGGGTTTTGGGTCCTCGTTTCTTTTTGATTTTCTAAATTTCATCTGAACTTGCAAATATTTTTAAATAGACTTAGCTGCAATTTACCCAGTTTGAATTTTAAAGCAAATGGCAATATGTTGAAATCCATTTGTAAAAGAAAACTATGAATAATTAAAAATGTGTACAGTAAAAAAAAAAAAAAAAAATGAAATACTGGAGATTGGCTTAAACAATTATTGATTTTAGTCAAGGAAAATAAGTTCTTTTTGTCAATTTTTTATTTTCATTTAGAACATTAATCCAGACCTTTTGCACATCCGTGATATTTAACTGTCTAAAATGGAGATGAAAAAAATGCTGTTTGATTACTGCCGGTTGATTAACAACAATTATGCATTGACTGAAAAAAAAAAGAAGCTAATTTTGGAGGAAATAACTTTGTAATATTTATCACTTGCAAGCTATGTTTAATAAAGGGTGGAACAGTTTATCTCGGAGTGTGTTAACATTTGTTCAAAACTCATTTTGGTTCTTTTGCCATTTTTAGTATTTTATTATATATTATTATTATTAGTATTAATAATTTATTTTATTATATATTATTATTTATACTTGGGTTTTAAAATGTAAATGAAAAATCAATTTCGTTGTCTTTTTTTCTTCTCACACTCTTCCAGCCAGCACACATATGGTCTCCTGAACCCTGGTCATTCATTTACAGACTAATTGGCTTCATTATAAGCTTTGACTTTATCCGGTCACTACAATTATAGCTATTTTCCAGCATCACTGCACCCTGCCAGCAGATTTAAGGTTGTACTCTTAAGAGGTGATGTCTGTTATTCTCTTCCAACTAAACCAGTGTTAGTTGACTCAGGTGCATGAGGGATCATCTGAAATTAAACTGATTTATTACAAGATTTTCATTCTTGTCACACATTACAGCAATTGGCAAGTTACAATTTTTCACTAATTCTATTATTCTTTGGAGCCAAATATGATCACATCAGTAATGTGGACCATTGTGTTTAGAAAACATACTTGTGTTGCTTTACGCAGTTGTAAAATGCTGTATCTGAGCACTGCTACCTGACCTGTTATGTGTATCGAATAGTCCATGGTATTCTCTCAATGAATCCCGTCCGGTGAATAGATATTGACCGGGCCTTCATACAGCATTCCAGCCCTTCCTGTTTGCAAATGCCTGAAATGAAATATATGCGACTGTAAATCACTACATCCTGACAGCGTGATCAGAAAAAAAACATTTATAACTATATGTGACCCTGGACCACAAAACCAGTCATAAGGGTCAATTTTTTGAAATTGAGATTTATACATCATCTGAAAGCTGAATAAATAAGCTTTCCATTGATGTATGGATCATTTGAAATGATGTATTTGTTAGGATAGGACAATATTTGGCTCGAGATACAACTATTTGAAAATCTGGAATCTGAGGGTGCAAAAAAAATCAAAATATTGAGAAAATCGCCTTTAAAGTTGTCCAAATGAA